CATTAAGGAAAAAATAAAATTATGAAGAGAGTAAAAAGATCAGTGGTTTCGGGACAGAGAGGAAGGAATGAACAGGTGCACCACCGGGGATTTTTACGGCAGTGATACCGTAATGGTGAACATGTCATTACACATTTTTGAAAACCCATAAAAAGAACACCACAAATGTAAACTGTAGATTTTAGTTAGTAATAATGTAACATGTTGGCTCATCAGTTTAACAAATACACCACACTAATTCAACGTCTTAATAATAGGAGAACTGGAGGTGAAGGGGTATATGTAAACTTTGTTCCCTCGATTTCCCTGTAAACCTAAAACACCTCTGAAAAATACAGTCTATTAAAAATGGTACACGTTGGGGTCGGCCCCGTGGCCAAGTGGTTAAGTTCGCATGCTCCACTTTGGTGGCCCAGGGTTTTGCCAGTTCGGAGCCTGGGCGCAGACATGGCACCACTCATCAAGCCCTGTTGAGGCGGTGTCCCACACAGCACAACCAGAGGCACTCACAACTAGAATATACAACTATGTACTGGGCGGCTTTGGGGAGAAGGAGAAGAAAAAAAAAGAAAATTGGCAACAGATGTTAGCTCAGGTGCCAACTGAAAAGAAAAAAGGTACGTTACGTGAATTCTATTTAAAATTTGCAAAAAAAAAGAGTTATATGTATAGATGAATGAATTTTGACAAATATACACACCCATGCAGTCACCATCACAATCAAACATAAAATACATCGATAAACCTAAATTTTGCTTGTATCTATTTGCTGTCAACCTACATCCTCTTCTCCTTTCTTGGCGGCAGGTAACAACTGACATGCTTTTTGACACTATAAATCAGTTTAAAATTTTTATATCTCCATATAATGGAACCATCTTTTAAAGACAACTTTATTGAGATATAATTCATATAACACACAACTTACCCAGTTAAAGTGTACAAGTCATTGGGTTCCCATATATTCACAGATATGTGCAACAGCCATTACAGCCAACTACAGAACATTTTCATCACCTCAAAAGTCCTTGGGGTCCAGCCTCATGGCCGAGTGGTTAACTTCGTGCTCTCTGCTTTGGCGGCCCAGGGTTCACAGCTTCAGATCCTGAGCACGGACCTACACACCGCTCATCAGGCCATCCTGTGGCATCATCACACATGGAACCACTGGAATGACTTATAACTAGGATATACAACTATGTACTGGGGCTTTGGGAAGAAAAAAAAAAGCACAAGATTGTTAGCTCAAGGCCAATTGTCCTCACCAAAAAAAAAAAAAAGAGACTGAATTTGGAGAACTGACATATTTAACATACTGTGTTGTCCTCATTTAAGAACATGATTAGTCTTTTCTGTTTTTTAGAAAACACTTTTAACTTATTGCCCTACCATGAAAACAAATGGAGGTATTTCTGCAACACAATTCCACATTTCATCTTTGTTATTGATCTTGCTCTCCTGAAAGCAGGGGATATATATCAGACTCTCAAAATGGGTCTGTTGTAGGACAGTATCCTTCTTCCTTTAAAGAGAGTTAGGGTCTCACCATGCTGCTTCCTCCAAATGAAACTGCCTTTCAAGACTCTCTTATCTCCAGATCTTAACTCTTTTTAGGTCCACATCCAGGTTGAAAGGCTCAAGAGTTGTGAAATTGATTATCGGGCATTTCCAATAAATATCTTTATTTTGTGTCTTACAACTCACTTTGGTATCTGGTGTCCATCAGATCTTGGTGCCTCAGTTAACATTTCCACTTTAATTTCCTGACACATGCTGCATCCTCCTCCCGTGATTAAGAGGACAAGATAGAACTTTGTGTCTATGGATAATCCTCATTTGTTAAGACTCAGGGAAAGCAACACCTTCCCTGGGAAGTATTTTATATCGTCTGCCACCACTCTGAATTGCTCTCGCATCACACAACCAAGATTCAAATCTTCCTTTCACTAACTGTATGAGCTTAGTGTGTTCTTCATCTCTATTATTTTTCCACAACTACTAGAATGACTTTATTAAAAATTTTTTTTTTACATACAAAAAGCTGTATATAATTCATATATACAATTTGATGAACCCAAAATAAGCATACAACGATTTACCATCACCACAACCTGTGGCATAAACTTATCACCTCCAAAATTCCCCCCCCCCCACCCTCGTATTACTCTTTTTGTGTGTGATAAGAACACTTAACATTAAGATATACTGTTTTAGTGTATCTCTAAGTGTACAACAGTATTGTTTACTATGCACTGTGCTGTAGAGATCTCTAGAACTTATTTATCTTGTAAAACCAAAACTTTGTACCCTTTGACTAATACCACAAATTTTCCCTCTGCCCAGGCCCTGGAAACCACCATTCCACTCTGTTTTTATATTTCTTCCTATCAGTGGTATCATACAGTATTGGTTCTGTATCTGGCTTATTTCAGTTAAGCATAAGGTCCTCAGGTTCACACACTTTATCGCAAATGGCAGGATTTCCTTTATGAAGGCAGAGTAATAATACAATGTACATGCCGAATTTTCTTTATCATTCATCCACTGACGGACACTTAGGCTGCCTGCATGTCTTGGCTATTGTGGATAGTGCTGCTATGAACATCGGGGTACAGATATCTCAAGGTTCTGCTTTCAATTCTTTCAGATACATGTATCTAGAAGTGAGATTGCTGGATCACATGGTAGTTCTATTTAGTTCTTCTGCAGAACGTCCGTACTCTTTTCCATTGCACCTACACCAACTTACATTCTCATCAACAGTGTGCAAATTTCTTTTCTCCAGAACCTCATTAACATTTGTTCTTTCCTTTTCTTAAAAGTCATCCCAACAGGTGTGAAGCAATTTCTCATTGTGGTTTTGATTTACATTTCCCTGAGGATTACTGATGCTGAGCACCTTTTCATATGTTAGCTATTTTTGTGTCTTCTTTGGAGAAATGTCTGTTCAGTTCATTTGCCCATTTTTAAGTTAGGTTGTTTGGGATTTTTTTGCTACTGACTTGTGGACTGCTTTTATTTCTTTCATCACTGTTTTTTAGATTTCAGTTTACAAGGCTTTCACCTCTTAAGTTTATTCCTAAGTATTTCATTCATTTTTGATGCTACTGCAAATAGGATTGCTTTCTTACTTTTGAGATACGTTGTTAGCGTTAAGAAATGGAACTGACTTTTGTACTGATTTTATATCCTGCAACATTAATGAATTTGTTTATTAGTTCTAAGAAATTTTTGGTGGAGCCTTTAGGGTTTTCTACATACAAGAGCATGTCATCTTCAAACACAGATAACCTTACTTCTTCCTTTTCTATTTGGATGCCTTAAAAAAATTTTTTTTAATAGCTAATTCCTCTGCCTAGGACTTCCATTACTATGTTGAATAGAAATGGCAAGGGTGGCCATCTTGCCTAGTTCCAGATCTTAGAGGAAAACTTCAATTTTTCACCACTGAGAATGATGTTAGCTGTGGGCTTATCATTTATGATCTTTATTGTGTTGAGGTAAGTTTCTTCCATATTTAACTTGTTTGGTCTTTATCATGAAAGGGTGTTTTGCCAGAAGCATTTGTCAGATGCTTTTTCTGTATCCATTGAGATGACCATGTTGTTTCTATCCTTCATTCTGTTAATGTAGTGTATCACATTGTTTCGCATACGTTGAACCATCCTTGCATTCCAAAGATACACCCCACTTGATCATAGTTATGATCCTTTTAATGTGCTGCTGAATCCAGTTTGCAAATATTTGCACTTTTCATCCATGCGCATCAACGATCTTGGCCTGTAGTTTTCTCTTAGTGTCTTTGTCTGGCTTTGGTATCAGCATGATGCTGGCCTCATAAAAAGAGTTTGGGAGTGTTCCATATTCTTTTAGTTTTTGGAAGACTTTACAAAGGATTTGCATTAATTCTTCTTTAAATGTTTGATAGAATTCACCTGTGAAACCATCTGATCCTAGGCTTCTCTTTCTTGGAAGTTTATTTCTGATTCAATCTCATTATTTATTTGTCTGTCGAGGCTTCGTTTCTTCTTGATTCAGTCTTGGTAGGTTGATGTTTCTAGGAATTTATCTAATTTGTTGGCATATAATTGCTTATAATAGTCCCTTGTGATTTAAAAAAAAAATTCTGTGGCATTGCTTATAATGTCTCCTCTTCCTTTCTGATTTTTAGTCTTCTCTCTTTTCCTCTTAGTTTGCCTACCTAAAAGTTTACTTTTTCTTTTGAGAGAACCAACTCTTTTATTATTTCCATCTTCTTCTAACTTTGGGCTTAGTTTGTGCTTTTTCTATTCTTTGAGGTCTATTATTAGGTTATTTTGAGGTCACTTTTTTGTTGTTGGTGGTGGTGAGGAAGATTCACCCTGGGCTAATATTCGTTGTCAATCCTCCTCTTTTTTTTTGCTTGAGGAAGATTAGCCCTGAGCTAACATCTGTGCCAATCTTCCTCTACTGTGAAATGTGGGATGCTGCCACAGCATGGCTGTTGAGTAGGTCTGCACCTGGGATCCGAACCCACAAACCCAGGCCGCTGAAGCAGAGAGATTGCAACTTTAACCACCTGACCACAGGGCTGGCCCCTTGAAATCTTTTTTTAATGCAGGAAGTTATCACTATAAATATCTCTCTTAGTATAGCTTTTACTGCATCCCATTAGTTTTGCTATGTTGTGTTTTCCTTTTCAATTGTCTGAAGATAGTTTCTAATTTCCCTTTTGCTTTCCTCTTTGACACAATGGTTGGTCAAGAATGCGTTGCTGAATTTAGATTTATTTGCAAATTTTTCCATTTTCTTTTTGTTATTGATTTCTAGTTACATTCCATTTTGGTTGCAAAAGACACTGGGAATAATTCCACTCTTCTTAAATTTGTCTTGTTTTGTGATCTAGCATTTGATTTATCCTGGAGAATGCTCCATGTAGCTTGAGAAGAATGTGTATTCTGCTGCTGGTGGATGGAACATTCCGTATACATCTGTTAGGTCCATCTGGTCTAATAGTGTAGTTCAGATCCACTGTTAACCTATTGATTTTCTGTCCGAAAAATCTGTACATTGTTCTAAGTGGGGTATTAAAGTCTACTATTAATGTATTATATTGCTATCTATTTCTCCCTTCAGATCTGTCAAAGTTTGCTTAATATGTTTAGGTGCACTAATGCTGAGTGCATATATATTTACAATTGTTATATTCTCTTGATGAATTGACCCTTATTATAAAATGATACTGTTTCTTGTGATAGTTGTTGACTTAACATCAACCTTGGCACTCATCTAAACAGCTCTGAAGAAGGTGCGATGCAGGTGAACTCAAACTGTTGATCCTACCCTCTTCAATGCATCTTTTCTGCTTTCTGTGCTCCACCTGAGTGCTATAACCTCTCACCTGGAAACTAGAGCTTTCAAGAAGGTATTTTTATGCATGGATCATTGTCAAATTGGAGTTTCTGTGACAGAATGAGGGCTGGAACCTCCTATTCCACTATCTTGCTGATGCCACCCTGTATAAATGTTAAATTGAGCAAAGTCTTTTTACATCCTAAATAAAATGGCATAAAGTGATTCATTCTAGGTGTTCCTAATGGAATCCATATGATGCAGGTTCCTGAAAAGCACCACTTGTTGATGAAGATAAAGAAGCCCAAGGAAATAATCTGATTTGCTGAAATAGATGGAAATGGTAAGCAGCTGATCCAAGTTGGGACTCTAGGTCTGGCTGTCTGATATATACGCTGTTTAACCACAAAGCTTCACAAAATTGCTCCAAAGGTCTTGAATCCAGACATGACATAGATGATGATGACAACGATGGTGACATCAATAATGAACAGCAACATCAGCAGAGAGCATAAGTGCCAACCCACACACACTCAGGGAGCCATAGATTCTGCTCTCAGTTTTGTCATACATTAAACCATTTACTCTCACAACAGCCCTGTGAAGTAAATACTACATTACTAAATTACCCATTTCACCAATGAGAAACTGAGGCAGAGTGAGATTTAGTATCCTGCACAGGGCAATACAGTTCCTAGTCAGCAGAGTTAGGATTTGACACCAGGTGTTATGGTGTCAGAGACTGGGCTTCAGAGAACTATACTAAGCAGGAAACGTCATGCAGCCCTGTCAGGAGCCAGCAGCCTTGGAGAAAACAGGCTGTGGAGGCGTGAAGGAGAGGTGAATGCAAGGACTTAACCATGGAGAACAGGAGAGCAACGGAGGGGCATTTTGGTATTTCACAAGGTAGTAAAAAATAGTTTCCTACAGTGAGGATCCTATTATACTGGATGAAAGATGAGTGTTAAGTGAAGGCTGTTGCACATTTACTGGCTGATCTCATGTGAATCCGCTGGTGTTTTATGAGGTGTGACTTGAGAATGAAAGCTTTCCCCACTTGATGCACTCACAGAACTTCTCTCTCCAGTGTGAATCTTCTTCATGTGTCGTTTTAAACTAGAGATGTAGCAAAATGATTTCCCACAGACTCTGCATTTAAAGGGTTTTTCTCCAGTGTGGGTTCCATGATGAACACAAGATGAGTGTTGGTTAACGGCTTTTCCACATTTATTGCATTCATGGGGCTTCCTTCCAACGTGCATCATCACGTGTTGACTCAAATTAAACTTGGAGCAAAAGCTTTTCCCACATTCTTTGCACTCAAAGGGTTTCTCACCAGTGTGCATCCAAATATGTTGGACAAAACCAGAGTAGTAGGCAAAAGACTTTCCACATTTACTGCATTCATAGGGCTTTTCTCCAGTGTGACTCCGTCGGTGCTCTGTGAGGTGTGACTTGCGATAAAAAGCTTTCCCACATTCACTGCATTCATAGGGCTTCTCTCCACTGTGAATCTTCATGTGTTGACTCAAATTAAACCTATTCGAAAAGGTGTTTCCACAGTCTTTGCATACAAAGGAATTTTCTCCAGTGTGGATACCATTATGCTGGAAAAAAGATGAGACTTGGGTAAAGGTCTTTCCACATTCATTGCACTCACAGGGCTTCTCTCCAGTGTGAATACGCTGGTGATATATGAGGTGGGACCTGTGTTTGAAGGCATTTCCACATGCCTCGCACTCTAAGGCTTTCTCTTGAGTATGGATCCTCCTATGTCGGACAAATACAGACTGGAAGGTGAAGGTCTTTCCACAAACACTGCACTCATAGGGCTTCTCTCCAGTGTGAATCCGCTGGTGATATGTAAGGTAGAACTTATCTTTAAAGGCTTTTCCACATTCTTTGCACTCAAAAAGCTTTTCTCCAGTGTGAATCTGCTGGTGCTGCACGAGATCTGATGTAGACCTGAAGGCCTTTCTACAGTGTACGCACTCATAGGGCTTCACTCGAGCACGAATGAGGTCAAGTTGTGTAAGATCCTGATTCCTGAGCTCACTGTATTCATAATGGTTCTTCTCTGCAAGATCCATGGGGTCTGTAATTTGTCCGTGTGCATCACTTCCATGGAGAACACCTATTGGAGAGACTTGTTCCTGTAAAACCCTTGAGCAAAGACTGTCATCTGTCCCCAACTCATTGCATTTAGGGCTCATATTCCCAGGGCCAGCCTCCTTGTGGGGGTCTGTCACTGGCCTTAGGATTCCTTCCTGAATTTCTGATGGCACTTCCTGAGTTTCGGTTTCTCCAATCCTGGAGTCCCTTGAAGCTCCCTGTGTCATCGATATCTGAAGTGAGGGTCCCTTGGACAAGAGCAGCTGAGAAATGGTTGGCTCTGTAGTCTCTGAATTTGCTCTGGCTCCTGAAAAGAATTCAATAAATAAGAGTGACCTACTAGTGATGCCAACATAGAAGAAACAAAATGACCACTTTAGAATGAAAATAATATCTCTGAGCCTGATATGTTTTCACATCTCTGAAACCCATGTTTATAATTTTGTTCCTTTCTGTTCCTTGGGCTCTTGACATTTAAAAAGGGAAACTCAAGAGAGCGATGCTGGGATGGAAGATAGATGGTCTGGTGGAAGACTCCTCCTTAGAGTCTCGAGTCAAGGAGGGTGGGCAGAAAAGTGATGACATTGCATTCAGTATGCTGACTCTAAGAGAGAACGTCTCATCAGGTGCTAGGAAAGCACAAGTAAGATGTACCAATTCCAGTCCACATGGGAGAGTGAAGAGATCACAAGAGCTTTCCCAGGAAGTGCACCTTGAGTTGTTTCTTAATAGAGAGGTAGAAACTGCCTGACAGAGAAAGTGGGAGGGGTTGCTGCAGGCAAAGGAGACGTATGTACAAAACCAGTCTTGAGTGAAACCTCAATGCCTGGAGAGCTTCAGGGCATGAGAGAATGTTGGCGATATGGAGGCTGAGGCAGGCAGAGGATAAGCCCAGGGCTCTGACTCAGGTGCCAGTGAGCACAGTCACTGCCATTCCCCAGACAAGGCAGAAGTGAGCACAATCAGAGCAGACACACTGAGTCTGCTCTGCTGGAGGAACAGCCAGGTAAAAAGACACGTAGTAGATACAATCTGGATAGTGATAACTATAAATATTTACTTAGAGGCATTACACATAGATATGTAAATAGATAACAATATAAAGGTGTTCATCCTTCCTCAATGGATCTATAAATTCAATAAAGTCTAGATAAATTCACATCAGGGTTTTTCACAGTTCTAGAGTTAGAAAAATTCTAGAACTTATGTGGAAGAGTAAAGGGTCAAAAAGATAGGGCCAGATGATTCACCATTAAATTCTATGAAACATTTAAGGAAGAAATAATACCAAACATCAACACTATACAATCTCTTCCCGAAAACAGCAGAGGACAGAAGACTCTCCACTTCATTTTGTGAGGTTCCTGTTACCTTAATAGTAAAAGTAAAGCAGGTATTACAAAAACTACAGACTAATCTCTCTCAGATCATAGACACAAAAATACTGAACAATATATTAGCAACTGAATCCAAGATATGAAAGATAACACATCACAAAGAAGAGAGAGTCAAGGTAGAAATGAAAGGCTGATTGAACATTTAAAAATAAAAAAAAATCTTCTCAAAAACCTATGGAATAGAAAGGACTAAGTATAAATTTAACATGTGAAGGGGCCAGCCCTGTGGCCGAGTGGTTAAGTTTGTGCACTCTGCTGCAGGGGCCCAGGGTTTTGCTGGTTCAAGTCCTGGGCACGGATGTGGCATCGCTCGTCAAGCCATGCTGAGGCAGTGTCCCATCTGCCACAACTGGAGGGACCCACAACTAAGAATATACAACTATGTACTGGGGGGCTTTGGGGAGAAAAAGGGAAAAAATAAAAATAAAATCTTAAAAAAAAAAGTGCAGAATTTGTATGGTGACTTTGGAAACTTTGGAAAATAGTGTAAAATGGTAAAACTAAAGGCAAAAATAGCTACACATAAACACTGCACCCTAGTTGGTCAATCTGTTTCCCAGGGAAACTACCTTATATGTATAACTGGGTTGGAAAAATAAGTCGATAAAAGGTAGACAATGAAAGCCAGATTTGTCAGGGTCAGAGAAAGAAGTTACAAATAGGCAGGGAGGGAAGGCTAGAATGAACCATGTTATACCAGATTAGAGTTGAGAAGTAATTAGAAAATACACACCTGTATTTCTTAGCTCTCTTCTGAGAAGGTCTAGAAGCAACACCGTAGGAACAAGCCCACCCAACGCCTAGGCCTAGATCTTGGTTCCTAAATACTATTATTCAACAGTATTGAGGAAAAGGAAGCAGGGATCCTCGGAGAGACAGCTGACTCTATGGCAGTGACAGAGAAAAGAAATGAACCTCTCACAGTGCAAGGAAATAAGAAAGTCCTCAACAACTAAAGAATAGGGACATGTTAAAGGGACACAGGAGTCAACCTGAAAGAGCTCTCAATGTCCAAACCTGGAACAATTTGCACAAGAAAACAAATAAACATAACATTGATTACAACCCAAAGTATAAAACAAACATACATGAATCTACACTGATATAAATAAATGATCAATTGGATAAATAAATAAATGTGGAAGAAGAGACAAGTCTTCTCAATGGAGGATCCCAAGTAACACATGTAGATATTTCTCTCGTTGAGTATGGGCTGGAGTTAGGGACTCATCTCCAAAGAACAGAGTACAGAAAGGGAAAAACAATAATTTTACAGTCACGTAACCTGGTAGACACCACCTTAAATGAGTGATTAAAGTCCCCATCACCAGTAATGTCATGTGGAAATTATATATCCCTCATATGAGGTGATGAGAAGGACACTTCACCTCTGTGGAAGTCTTCTTAAAAGCCACAACCTGTCTCAACAGGAGCAAAGTATCAGAGAAACCCAAATTGAAGGACATTCTACAAGGTGCCTGACTGGTATTCTTCAAAATTGCCAATGTCACGAAAAATATGGCAAGGCTGAGAAACTGTCACAGGCCAGAGAAACTAAGGGGACATAACAACCAAAGGGAGTGTTACTCTACGTTGGATGCAGGAAAAGATAAAGGACACTTGTGGAAAAACTGGTGAAATCCAAATCAAGCCTGGACTTTAGTTAATAAACAGAACTTAACGTATGTAGCATGGTCATGTAAGATGTTAACGTGAGAAGTAATATCTTACGTTAGGAAGAAGGAAATATATGTGGAAACTCTCCATACTATTTATATAACTTCTCTGTAGGCCTCAAATGATTCTAAAATAAAAAATTTACTTAAAAATGAACTTCTGGGGGCTGGCCCTGGGGCATAGTGGTGAAGTTTGGTGCGCTCTGCTTTGGCGGCCCAGGTTCATGGGCTCGGATCCAGGGTGCAGACATACACCACTTGTCAGCCATGCTGTGGTGGTGACTCACATATAAAATAGAAGAAGAGTAGCACAAACGTTAGCTCAGGGTGATTCTTCTTCAGCAAAAAAAAAAAAAAAAAAAACTTCTGAAGGTTCCTTTGAAAGCTATACAGTAAGTTTTACATGTGGTATCAAAATTACACCTATGAAAATATTGTACGGGGCTGGCCCAGTGGCACAGCAGTTAAGTTTGCATGTTCCTCTTTGCCAGCCCAGGGTTTGCCAGCTCAGATCTCAGGTGTGGACGTGGCACCGCTTTGCAAGGCATACTGTGGCAGGTGTCCCACAAATAAAGTAGAGGAAGATGGGCACAGATGTTAGCTCAGGGGCAGTCTTCCTCAGCAAAAAGAAGAGGATTGGCAGCAGGTTAGCTCAGGGCGAATCTTCCTCAAAAAAAAAAAAATTGTAATAAAGAAAACAATTCTTCTAATGCCAATATTAAGGGAACTTGTGATTTGGGATAAAACCTTGTATCAATCATGATTCATCTCAAACAATACAGACAGGAGAAAATATGAGGTGGGTACTATATTAGATGATAACAATGCCAAACTTGAATAGTTGAATGAAATTATTCATGAATTGTCAAAAGTATTAATAAGAAGTTCTGTTCAATAAAAGGTTAAAGAAAGACAAAAGACAGAGTAAAAATTACAATAAGTTTGCAACACATATAGTTAATAGGACATTAATATAAGGAATGTAGAAAGATTTCTTTAACATCTAAAACAGAAGTTCAAAATGCTTATTAACAAAAAAATAAGTGAAGAAGCAAGGTCCCTGAGAAGGCAGAAAAAGGTATGATTTGGTCTCCAGTGCAGGTGTGGCATGAAAACCTCTTCCATGGAGGTGAGAAGGGAAGCTATAGGTATAAGACAGAGATGAACCTGGAAGGCCAAGGAGCAAGAGCAGAAAGACATGAACTGGGTTGCATGCTGAGACAGTGGCTCAGGGAGTGGTGATTGTTTGGATCAATGGTCAAGTGGATGGGGAAGGTGGTGCAAGAGACAGAGCTGACCAGAAACAAAGATCAGATGTGGGCCGACCAGTGAGCAGTGTGTTGGCATCACATTGCCAAGAGATGATGAGAGCTTAGACTAGGAGGTTCCTGGTGAAGCTCATGGAGGTGGCGGAGGTGATGGTTTCACTGGATGTGAAAAACAAAAAGTAAGCAAGATGAGGATGCTGGATGTTGGATTAGATGGAGGCAGAATGTTATCGGTTTGTGCAAGGTTGTTTCCCACCATCTCCACTGTCTGATTCACAGGGCCATCCACTGAAATTGTGGAGGATGGAGGAGTGGACAAGATCATGACTTCCTTCTTAGGCATGAAGAATGTGATGAGACATATGGAATGTAACTAAAAGGTAAGTATTAGGAAGACAGTCAGTTGGGCTGAGGAGGGGCTGGCTAAGCAGTGCCAGGAAGCAGGAGAGAGGCAAGACCATGACTCTGCAGTGGCACCCTTCAACACACTTGATGACTCCAACTGCCCTCAGCAGCCCAGATGTGTAGCAAACAAAGCCAGATGTTGAGCTTTTACAGTAAAGGAGGTGCAGGAAGACAATGGAGTTAGGGATTGCTTCTGTCTCACAAATAGGAAGATGGATCAATGGATAGAGAAGGGTGGGATGCAGAGTGTAGGCATGCAGAGTAAGACAGGCTCTTTTCCTTCCGAGTCCAGAAGGGCATGGGAGAGATGCTGTGTGGTTGATAATCACTACACGAAAGGCCCTAATAGCTGACGTTTGTTGAGCTCCTAACTATGGCTTAGACATGGGGCTAAGCAGTTTCATGCATTAAATGATTCTATCTTCAAACAGCCCAACGAGTTAGAAATTATTATCACTTTCATTTTCCAAGAGTAGGCTGAGTGCTGCAGATTGGGTGAGTGTAAACCAAACCCCTCTGCTCTTCTTGGGCACCATTTCCCCTCAATTCCATTTCCCTGCTGCATCCAAAGAGGGATGAGCAACTAATGAGCTCTCATCAACAGTGGGAGAAGTGATGTGTGTGCATGCAACTGGGGGTGACTTCCATCCTTGCTCTCGTTTCCCCTCTGCCAGTGGAATGTTGCCAAGGTAACCATAAAGCCACATATGGATGACAGAAGGTACCTGCGTCTCTGAATAACTGTGTCATACGAACTCCCAGGCTGACCCACATGGACCCTGCCATGAGTGAGAAAAATATTTTTCATGTGTTGAGCTACTGAGATTTTGGAAGTTATGTTACTGCAGCAACATTAACTCAGCCTAACTTAGCTAAATGAGGCACAACGACAGCATGCAACTTCCCCACTGTCACAGGGCTGGAGAGGGGCAAAGGCAGGTTTTAAGAACAAGTGTTTGGAGCCCAGAGCCTCACTCTTACCTAATCAAACAGGTTCTTCAGCTGGTGGCAGGAAAGAATGGGTTGGGGTGAGAGGACAGAGCGACCTAAAGACTAAGAGCTCTACAGCAACCCAAGCACCCAAGGAGGCCACAACAAGGAGCTTCCCACGGAACTGCAGAGGCAGGGATCCCCTCTCAGGGAAGGCTGCCGTGACCCCCACTGCCTATTTCTTGGTCACCCGCCGGGACAGGCGCTTTGGGAAAGGCCTGTCTTCACTGTCCATAGCTCCTGCCTGCACTCCAGGAGAGGATCAGCTCTGGTTTGGGAACTGGATATTGTGTTTGTGGAAAAAGGAGTACGATATGCGTATTTTAGCAAAGACAAAAAGAATTGTCTCAATGCTGTCTGGGACTTCAGGATGGAAAGGAGACCTCGGAATGAGGCTGCTTTGTCCACAAACACAACACTGATCAGTGACCTGTGAACCAAGGCCAAGAACATCATTGGGTCCTAAAGGTTGAGTAAGGTAGTGCTGGCTGTCTAAACTGATCCATCTCCCTTACCTCCATCCTAGAGAGCCCCAAAACTGTTCAGATGCGGGTGTGGGACCCAGGTATACCAATGGCAACGGCACATTAACTATGACCGTTGCTATTAATTGCTTTTCTTTGACCAACTTTTAATTATACTTTAACAGATTTTAAAAAAGGGAATCTTGTGTCAGTTTGAAAAACTGAAAAACCAGTTTCATTTGCCACAAGTGGAAAATTACTACAAGAAAATCAAAATAGCACTGTTAAGTCTCAGTGAACTCACAGTGCCTGCTCAGGGCTTGAGTCTGAGGCTGTCCCTTCTGTTGAAAAGGGAAATTACCAACAGTCCAAGGGCATTAAAGACTCTGCACAAAACAGATATTTCCTCCCTAAACAATCAGCAAGCAGGAAGGAAGAGAGAAAAAGGAATGGCTTTCTCTGATTGTCCATCAATGCCATTTGTTGTGTTTGTGCACCCTCCAAAATCATCTCCCATCCCAACAGAGGGTCATGGCCCAGACTTAAGGATACAGGACAGAGCATGTAGACATCAGGTGTCAAAGAAGCCTCTGAAATGGGACTGTGTTGTTTAGAATGACGGCAGTAGGACTCACACAGCCGCCTCTGGTATCTTGACTAGTTCACTCACTTTCTGAAGAACATCCCATTACCTACGGTCCTGCTGACTGGGCTGTGAACCAACCAAGCTTGGTCACTCAGTTTCCAAGTCGTGGGAATCTGGAGAAGGGATAGACTAGGGCCAGCCTGTGCTGAGCCCCAGGGTGAGAGGTAAAGGGAAGTGTGGGCTTGGGTGGTGGTTTCCTGCCAGGAGGACACCCATGCGGAGACAGCCAGCTGGAGAGAAAGACAGAGAAATGGAAAAAACATACAGAGAAGGAGAAACTCGGAACTGGGGATGTTTCTCAGAGTGAGGACAGGGGCAGGCACTTCTGGCCATGAACTCCTTGTAGCAGAAAAAGCCAGTCTGCTGAGAATGGCACAAGGAGACTCATAAAGAGACACAAAAATCAGAAGTCCCCGAGGCCAAGATCTAATCAGGATTTCTTCCGTTTCCTGACTTTAGGCTCTCATAGTACTGACTGGACATCCTGCCCTTGAATATTAAAAGGCACCCACAGTTCCTCCAATGAATCCTTCTTCTTTGATATCTGAGCCGTTTTGAGGGGAACTATGTTTCTTGCCCAAAATTCCTTGTGAGAGACACAGAACACTAGGCAGCAGAAGGTGAAACCAATGCATGTGACGGATGCGAGGAAGAGGAGGGCGTCATGTGGAAGGCTTCTGAACAAAGGGCAGGATGAAGGAGGGTGTACGTCCCCAAGGAGAGGAGCAGTGAGGCCTTACCCAGAGAGGCCAGGAGCCGACAGGTATCCAACATCACCTCCCAGTACAGGGTCCTCTGGGAAGTGTCCAGCTGCCCCCATTCGTCCTGGGTAAAAGTCACTGCCACATCCTTGAAGGTCACTGATACCTGGAAAGTCAAACAGAGGTAGCTTTGTTGGCCCTGGGCCATTGAGATGAGACTAGAGCCCGATGCTCAGCCGCTGGCAAAGGACCCTAAAGCCCCAAGGCCAGAATCACTGAGCCTTTCCTGGGAGCCGATGGGGTTCAGGGGAGGCCGCCCCAAGATGTGCTACTTTGGCACGTGGAGTATTTTGAGCTGAAGGCAACTTACACCTTGTGGGCTCAACAGAAACTTTTACCTCTCTCTTGAGGAATTTAAGTTAATGGTCTTGCCTATAAGGAGAGTAATTACCAGAAATAACCTTTTTAATGACCTATCTGTAGGATAGGGTAGCATCTAATTCTTGAACATCTGCTCTTCTTATCCTCCTGTGAATTACCTCCTCCCCTTTGGAGCCCCAGCCCGCTATCCCATTCTTGGCCCAAGATGGCATAAATACCTCAGTTTACCTTTCTGTCTCTGAACTTCTCATGGATGAGGGGTTCCAATATGTATGAAATTAATTAAATGTGATTTTTGCCTACTAATCTATCTCATGACAATTTAATTCTGAGACCAGCCACAAGAACCCAGAGGGTAGAGGAAAATTTCTTTCTCTCCAACAGCTGGCGTAGCCGGCAGGATAAACTTCTCCAGCGGGACTCTGCTCCCTTTGAGGCTGCTGTGGCTGAGAGATCCTGGGACAGACATCTGACGAGCGCCACAGAAGGTAAGGGTTCTTACCCCATCAGTCCCCCAGATCTCTGACTGCTGCAGGTCCACTGGAAGCAAGAGTGCTAAGTCTCTTTTTCTCTTTCCTAAATTTAGATTAGCAGGACAAAATATTTGTGAAACTATTTCAATACTTCAGTAGTTTCTTTCTTTTTTTTTTTTTTTTGGCTTTATCTCTGCAAACCCCCATGTACATAGTTGTATATCTTAGTTGCAGGTCCTCCTAGTTGTGGCATGTGGGATGCTGCCCCAGCGTGGCCCAACGAGCAGTGCCATGTCCGCGCCCAGGATCCAAACCCTGGGCAGCTGCAGCGCAGCGTGCAAACTTAACCACTCGGCCACGGGGCCGGCCCTTCAATAGTTTCTTGAACTTAACAACTCCAGTGAATTTGGTAGACTACTCTTGGTTTTATTTTATGCATTTCCTCCCAGAGATGGTTGTCACAAGAAGGAAATTCCACAGGCAAAGTCAGCTCAAGGGTATTGCCGTCTGGAAGGGTTGCCCTGTGTGAGGAACCTCAAGCTACAAGGTTTTTCCTTCCATCCTGTTATGTGTCCTGAGAGCTTGGCTTTTCTAACCAGTGAGAAAATTCTCTCTGATCTCCACCAATCCAGGAGGTGCATATACTGGGGTTCATCTGGCAGCCAGTTGAATAGATTGGGGTTCTGAGTCCTGAGCTCTCAAGGGAGTTTGTCCTTCTTTCTTAAGACTATCTTTGGTCGTGAACTCTTTTTTGTATCATGGGGGTTACATCACGTGCACCCACTCCAGGGATGGCTCTTGTGTCCACGGTAAAGATTTATTCTCAGCCTAGAAAGTTACCTCCAGGTCTTTCCATAACGCTTACTGGATTGAATAGCTATTGGAATAAATATAAAAATGAAGATCCTACTTGTCAGTGGCCAGATGATGAATCTTTTGAATCAAATACGGAACTTCCATATTTGAAAAAACTTTTAGAGAGCTCTCATTCCAAGCAGCCGCCTTACTGGTATTTATGGGAGGATCAAATTGAAGAGAAAATCCAAAGAAGTGGCTAGCCTCAGGGAATCTCTTAATAAAATGAAAGAACACAAGACAGACCTAGAGTAAGGATTCAAAACCAAAGCTAGCATAAATTCTCCCTCTCCTCCCTCTATACCCCCTGAATCCCCAGCTCCCTGTCCCTGACCCTCCAGGTCTTTGCGATCACTGGGCCCCTGGTCTAAACCTCCCTCAGAACCCAGCTCCACTTCCTCAGCCACTTCCCTTAGATCCTAGGACTCCCACTTGTCCAGAAAACACCCACCTGACTGTTTTCACTTCCCTTTCTCTAGAAGACCTACAGAGGGCACTCAGGCCTGACCTCCAAGCAAGGCGGACAGGGGTCACTTGTGTCAATGCTGAACACCAGGAGTGAATTTAGCAGACGCAGTCAGGAAGGGCAGGAAGGCTCACTGTGCTGTCCCTTATGTCTCCTCCTACTTTCCAGGGTGCGATAAACTGGCCCTGCCAACTTCATACATTCACACGCAGTGTCCCTTGTGGATGTACTCTAGACCTCCTCCACAAAGAATTCAGGTCCCCTGGACAGCAGCCGATCTTTTAAATGATAAAACCCTCCTACCTCCACTGTCAGAAGATCCTACAAAATTGAGAGAGGAGTTAGAACGATTAGTGACTATTCATAACCCCACTGACTGGCTACTAAGGCGCGTTCTTCCAACCCATGGTTACACTGCAGTTAGCAGACAGGCCAGACAGCCTCTAGAGAAAACCCTTCCCGCAGGGGATGGCTCTGCTGCAGGCTGATATTCAGGGTTTAATGGAAGCTGTTTTAGAGGCATTTCCTCCTAAAGTTAATTGGCCAAGGATTGAATTATGCACTCACAGGGGAGGAGAACATCCAAAAGCCTTTGTCGAACCATTTATACGAACCTTTCGAAGGCACACTGCGTCAAACCCGGATGCCCAGAGCAGAGGAATCTGATTTCTGCTGCATGGGCAATTTTCTCCCCATATAAAAACACAAATTCAAAATAGTGTAGTTGGTTGGTCAGGGCAACTGTTACGCATAATGGAGGCTGCCAAGTAATTCTTTGAAAATAGTTTGCTGGAACGTAGAAGGAAAAAAGAGTTAAAAGCAACAATTCTTGCTCTGCAACTTGAATCTTTAGAAAGACAGAGCAAGATATGGAAAAGGCCTTAAAGGCTGTTCAGAGCCTCCCCCGATTTGCCTCCAGACAAATGCAGGTATTGTAAAAAAGCCAGGACGTTGGAAAGGAAATTGTCCAGTGCTTAAGAGAAAGCAAACTGCAAGAAGTAACACCCCTCCTCTCAGGTCCCAGTCTGCCCAGGTTCATTTTTCTCCTCTTGAGGGGCATTTCCCCCTCAAATGATGGGGTCAGTCAAACCTCAGTCAAACCCCTAAAATCGAGTCCGGAACTGGATTCTTAATTGATACTGGTGTGACTTTCTGTGCCATCCACTCAGAGGACTGTTCAGTCTGGTCACCTGTGATGCTATTCAAGCTGTTGGAGTCTCTGGGTGGCCTATTTCGCTGCTCACATCTCAGCCCACTCTAACATTTTTAGGCCCCCTTAACGCTCATCATGCCTTTCTGGTTTTCAATTCCTCACCAGCAAACCTTCTTGGCAGAGACTTGTCATGTAAATTTAATGCCACCATAAATTGTAATGAGAAAGGCGTTTTTCTCTCTCTGACCTCAGACCAAACTCTGAATCTCCCCCTTTCCTTACTAGAAACTCATCTTGATCTAAATTCCTCTGAAGATGAGTTTCTAAAAGATGTTCCACTTAGCCTTTGGGCCACACATGCAAATGAAGTAGGACTGCTACTGAGTGCAGAACCCGTGCACATTCCTTGGAAAAAGAATAAACTGCTGCCATCATAGCCTGATACCCGCTCTCCAGGGAGGCAGGGCAGGAACTGACTCTTAGCAGACTCCCTTCCGCAGCACGGTGCGCTGGTGGGCACCTCCTCACCCTGTCACACTCCAATCTTGCCAGTGAAAAAGGAGGTAAATTTGACTCACATGGGAACCAAACCTATAGATTTGGACAAGACCTCAGAGCCATAAACTCTTTTGTAATTCCTCGGCATCCAGTGGTTCCTAATCCAGCTGTTATTCCTACCTTGACCCCCGCTGAGGCGGCCTGCTTCACTGTGACTGACCTCTGCTCAGCCTTTGCTTCGATCCCATGGCACCCTGGTTCACAACTTCTTTTTGTATTTACACTTCATGGGAGACAATTCACGTGGGCTCACCCACCTCAGGAATGCTGTGAGTCGCCTCAATGTTTTCCCAAATCCTTACAGCAGACTTCGATTCTGTAGCCGCTACTCAAGGCTCTACGCTTGTCCAGTGAGTGGATGACCTTTTACTCTGTAATCAAACTAAGCAGGCAGTGCTTACAGATCCCCTTCTTCTCCTAAAGTCACCAGCTGAACAACGCCAGGAAGTCTCCAGATCTAAACTTCAGTGGGTACAAGTGACTGTTACCTACCTAGGACACGAGATTCCCTGGGGCATTTAAAAGCTCACCTAAAGCGCCTTGAGTTAATTTTGCCCATCCCTCTCCCCAAAATGAAAAAACAGTTACATAAAGCTATTGCCGCCAACAGATTCCTAATTTTGCAGCCCTTGCTAAATTTCTGTACACCCTTCTCCCAGCTCTCACCCCAGAGCCGATCTCCTGGCCTTCAGAGGCATTTACCTCCTTTGAAACCTTAAAATTAGCTTTGTCCAAACCCCAGCTCTTGGCTTACCTAATTTTGACAAACTTTTTCATTGATATTGCCATGACAATAAGGGGATTGCTGCAGGCATTCTAGGACAATCCTGTGCCTCTCAGATCCGACCTACAGCATACTTCTCATGCCAGTTAGACCGTGTGGCATCAGGTTTGCCCCCATGCTTCGTAGGGGGGGCCACAGCTGCCACCTTGACTGACAAAGCCAGCGCTCTGACTTTAGGCTCCCCATGTTCCCCATGCTGTGCCTGCTACTTCACAAGTTCATAGGATGCAGCACCTCTCAAGGGCGACAGACCACCGATGAACAGGCTCTTTTAACCAACCCTTCCATCACCTTATCGTCATGGCACATTGAATCCAGCTACTTGACTACCCTTCTCTGATGATGGAGCACCCCACTCTATCCCACTTGATTGCCTTGCAACTACAGAAATGGTCTCAAAGCCATGACAGGATCTCAGATATCCTTTCAGATAATCCAGATTTCTATTTTGTGACAGCTCCTATAAACGAAATCTCTGGGGAAACATAACAACTGG